CCGGCTGAGAAATGAGCATTTACAAACGAGAAGGAAGAACCGTCGAGTAATATTGTCTACTATCAAAATTTCATAATCTGTAGTCATACAACAATAAGAGATCGTTGCTTTGTGACAAAACTTAGTTGCTATCAAGACAGCAAGCCCACCACCTCTGCTAGGTCGGTCCAATCGAAATAACCGATACTCTTTACGCAAAACTTCTGGCTGGTTGAAAGCCAGATTTCTTGCAGTAATATAAAATCCGGGGAAAGTTGTGAAGAAAGGTATGATATGTCCGTGGCTGTGGAAAATATAGATCGGCAATTCCACTGTAATATGGTTAGTGAACCTATTTTGACGACAGAACCGTCGTAGAAACTGCTTGGTCCAAAATGTCCTTTCGCAAAAAGTCTTTCTTAGACATGTTCTCCAAGAATTCTTTTTTGGATAGACACCTTTTAGATTTCGAATTATGCGAAGAATTTATTGATTGGGGAGATCGGGTTCACTTCAGAGCCTTATGAGAGTCCATATCCATATCTGCACATGCTTCCGAATCATCGGTTAGATCAGCGTCTTACGTTGTTTTGGAAGTCCCTGCCTCAGGAGAAACCACTCGCTGACGTGTTGTCGCACTTTCTATCTCCGTATGCTGCGATACCGCTCAAGCCTGAGGATCCCAATCGTTCGTATGTGCTACACCAAGAATTTGAGACAGTTGATTGGAAACCAATTGTGCCAAGCTTTCAAAAAAGTTGTTTGCGAGGCGTTCCATTGCCTTTTCCGTAGCCTTCTCTATGGCCTCTGCGATAGATGTTGCGGGAGATGCATCCATGGCGGTGGTATTACGTGCTGCTACACCTGCATATCTATTGAATCTCTCCTGCATTTCTGCAACGGCTTCTCTCCGAGAGCACCGCTTGTGTTCTACAATATCCAATATGGCAAGCTCTCTTTCTTTTGCTGCACAGTCTGCGGAGTCTGCAGGGTGCGCCCCATTTCATAAGCAGCACTTCTCTTCCGTCGAGTTGCACTTACGGCTGTCGTGATTTTCACCACACCGACGGCATCTAAGAACTGATCGGCACCCTGTGACCCTATGTGTATATAGCCAACATTTGAAACACTGCAGGGGTTTGGGGGAAAGTGGCTCTACCTTATAGATCAGTGGCCATGCCTTAATTTAGGAAGGTCGAACTGTCCCTAAAAAGGTCACTATCACCAATTTCGTTGGGGATTTTATGTTGTCAATTGTTTGGGTGCACTTGTACACTGAAATTACACCCGTCACCGAAAAGAAATCGAGCAATTCTGCAGGTGTCTGGCTGGTGTCTACACCGCGGACTAATCCTCTCGAGCATGCGAGGTGTGCCGGAATAAATGGGCTTACCGGATGCGCTGCGAATTCGGAACATAGCAGGAGTTCACGAATGCATTCTTGATCTGCGGAACAGCATAGGATGCCTCCGTGACCAAACTGGCGGACCTCAGTGATCTCCTGGAAATGCGAAGTGGCTTTTCGAAGCTCCACTTGAATTGCCTTTGGGTTCTTCATCGGAATACTGCCCCCATCTGTAGGTACCAGTGCCACAGGGACACTTCTCACCCCACTGCGTAACAAATAGTCTATCGGCCAATCTGTGGCGGGAGTGGAAGCTAACCAAGGGGAGTGCCCTTGACCGGGGGAAGAAAATGATGTGACATCAAGATCGAATGACTCGCTTCAGCTGAGAAAGACCAATACAGTTACCGGAAAATAACGAATTCTCAAAGAACAATAAGGATACTGCCGCCCGATCCTGAGCCCGGGCAGCTTCTTCACAGTCGAGCTTCAGAGTACAGGTCAGGCGTTAGGCTTGCGCGGCATGCGTTGGCGGATGTCAGCCGCAGCCGTTCACTCAGGAAGCTTCGCAACCCTGTTTCTTTCTCGAAAGGACCGCACGTGTGTACCACAACAAGCAGGAAGCTGACCCATAGCAAGCAGGACCAACAGGACCTTTCGCTCAGCCAAATATAACCAGTTCACCGCAAAACAGGATTTCGACGTTCAAATGGAAACTTGTTTGCTTGTTTATTCAATTCATCAATGATAAATTAGTTACAGTGTGCAGTAAGGACATGTAGTTGGCAAAGAAGGCCAATTATTGCCCGACCATAACCCGTCCCGCTCCATAGGGTACGCGAGGAGCAGTAATGTACATATGTTAAAACAATATGATGGCGTTAGTGGTAAAGAGCTCGTTTCACGAAAATTCCGGTGTCGGCATCGCTGATTTTGAGCGAAAAACTATATTATGCGTGACCCGAAATTCGAAAACGATGCAAATAAAAGAAATAATTGATCTAAAATCCTGTACCAAAGTGCGTAACGCAACAGGGTAGTGGGGATATAATGGGGATATGTGGGGATATATATCCCCGCATGGGCATATAACCCGCGTCGTTTCCGTGGCAAGCGAATGTTCTACCACATGGCCACGCATCTGCTTGTTGAAACAGAGAAAAGAACTTCCTCTGCTTCGAAAAGCAGTGAAAGTTGCTTTCGTGTTTCACGAACACACGCTGTCTGTACACAGGCTTTACAATGCAACATGAAATATTGCAGTAATAATGCGCGGTACAAGCGTCCAATTGCCAACGGGCGTCAGAATACGTGATTATTATGCTGGCTCCGTGGTAGAAAGCCGGTACCACACTACAAAAGGCACACACGCTACTGCGCGTGTGCCTATTCCCTTAAGGCCACGTAGTGGGTGCATAAGAAGTTCGAAAAGATTTCATGCACTGAGTGTTCGAAGTACGCACTAGGAACAGAATGTCGCTATGGCGTTCGACTCCTAAAGGTGAGGCTTTAGCGTCGGCTATTTTTAAACTAATAAGTACCGAGAGTTTCAGAATTCTTATTAACAGTTCATAAAGCATCGTTAGAAAAACGCATATACGTCTAGACTGGTCCTTGAGACTTAAATTTTTGTAATGTTGTAGTGCAATATTTTTTTGAAATGCACAAAAGCAAGGGATGTGTAGAAATACCCAGGCTTGTGAAATAACCATGCCATTGCAACTAACTAAATTAAAATGCGACAGATATTTATGCACGCCAGTTTTAACAAAAACATGTATAATTTTGTACGGAGATAAAAAATTATTTTTGAAGAATTACTAGATAAGTGTGCATATTTTAAATGCAATTACTAAGCAGCTCTCTCACTACGGTGGTAATTGCAGGATGCGAGTTCAACAGTTCTGGGATCTAATGCAGTAGCGCTTGTGTACCCTAGTTTGTTCATGTTCTTTCGCTGAAGTAAACAATTATCAAATTCTACTTTGCCAACACCTTGAATATTCTCGCCCTTTGTTGTAAGGTCCAAAAATGATGGAAAAAGGTTCGACTTATATCAAAAGTGATTACTGACAACACTTACAATTTACTTGTACTGGAGAACGGCACACGACTATACAATGTCACGGCAGATTGCCACTATAGTGAGAGCAACCTAAGTGTCACCAAACATTTCCGTACTGTGTCACTTGTGTGTCCCCACGTATCAACAAGTACTCCCGTCCATCTTCCTTCCTACAAAATGTACATTTACAATAATGACAACCCATGATAAATCACTCATACCTTTCCGGCTTTACATGCCAAATGACTACACAGAGCAATTGTGATGCGACAACAAGCTTGTCTTGAATTGTTGATGTTCGCGCTGCCTGTTCATTAAAGATTAGTGAACTGCTGCACACTTCTGAGCATTGCGTTTCGAATTGCAATGGTGAATGAAGATTCGAGCTTTGTTCAAATAAAGAGGTACTTGTTTTCACAAGAAAACTTGTCTTCACCTAATAACTAACCATTCCCAACGAAAGATTACTACTATGTCTGAGGATGTTGCAACAAAAGTGCCGTTATTTGTATCTCCGTGCTACGCTACACTTTCTCATTTTTGTTAGCTTCTATCAGGGTAGCTTAGACACAATTTTTCGGTAGTCATGCCAACGCCGCCCCGCAGCGGTGGTCTAGTGGCTAAGGTACTCGGCTGCTGACCCGCAGGGCGCGGGTTCGAATCCCGGCTGCGGCGGCTGCATTTCCGATGGAGGCGGAAATGTTGTAGGCCCGTGTACTCAGATTTGGGTGCACGTTAAAGAACCCCAGGTGGTCTAAATTTCCGGAGCCCTCCACTACGGCGTCTCTCATAACCATATAGTGGTTTTGGGACGTTAAACACCACATATCAATCAAGTCATGCCAACGCTCTCAGTTAAGAAGGTTAACACTGTAACTCTGCCCCCTAGAACAACTCCGTTAACAAAGTGCCGAGGAAGCATTTTGCATTGAAAGGACTTCGAAGAACAATTTTCGTAGATCTTTCGCGGGTTTGCGACTTTAATGCGCGTAGGTGTGCACATGGTTCACCAGAAAGAGAGTAGGGAGATTCTTCCTCGCTGCCCTGCTTTCCACCTAGCTGCAGAGTGAAAGACAACAAGCTTGATATTGGATGCGAAAATTGATCATGGAACGATAACGTGCTAATCACATCAGCTACTTTTGGTACCCGGCTTTCCCGAACAAGGTATAAACCCTACTTTATGTTATTCTATTCTACTGGGTAATTGCGGGATGCGGATTCAACAGTTCCACAGAATGGCTAAACCCTACTCTATGGTACTCTACTCTATAAAGTAGCCCTTAGCCATTCTTGTAATGCAACATGAAGGGCATTTAGCTAACATCGTAATCAATAACTTGCGTTGAGTGACGGAATAGGTCTGACCGAGGAAACGCATAGGCCCTACATTGCCATCCCCTCGTCCCCCTTTGTGCGCATGCACATGCTCGAACAACTGAGGACGTTCCGTACAGCTCTTTTGTTAAGAAATAGTGCCGAGCCAAGGGAGCATAGACACATGTGGTTGCTACGATAGGCCATCTGTATATTGTTAAGTGTAATTATTGTGAGATGTCTCCAGTAGGTGCTGCTACTAAATGTTCTTTTTCTCTATCAATATCGCCGCAGCCATCCCAAGTGACAATAACCGTGTCGTCTACAAGCTGTATGACGTTGACTCCAGATGCGGAAATGCAGCCGCATTGCTAAAGAAGCTTGACAAACAGACGAAGAAAGGATTCGTTTTTTCAAGAGACGTTGCCAGAACCGAAAAGCGAATGCAAATATAGTTTGCTGTGTGCAAAATAATGTGCCCAAACAGTTGCGATGGATCGAAGTCTGTGCCACGTAAAATAAAGGCATGTTTGCTAAATGTTTGCACTACAAATTTCGCATTACATGCATAATCTTGACTTTGAATTCATGTCCATTTTTTTCCTCTCTGTGTCTCTGTTCACCGCGTTATATCAGTGGCTATGGTGTTCTTCTGCTGACTAGAAGGTGGAGGGTTCAATCTCGGCCGTCGCAGTCGCATTTTGGTGGAGACGACATGGTTGAGGCCTGTGTGACGTCAGTGCTAGTTGAAGAGCACCAGATGGTCGAAATTTCCGGAGCCGACACTGAGCTATCTCGATAATCATACCGTGGTGTACATACAAAAAACGCTAAAGTGAACGTCATATTATTTGTGTAAATATATAAATAATAATAATAGAATAATAGAATAATAATAATAATATAATAAGAATAATAATAATAATAATGAATAATAGATATTTTATTATATTATTAATTAATATGTAATATTATGATATATTATTATATTATTATATTATTATTATTATTAATATTAATATTAATATTAATATTAATATTAATATTAATATTAATATTAATATTAATATTAATATTAATATTAATATTAATATTAATATTAATATTAATATTAATATTAATATTAATATTAATATTAATATTAATATTAATATTAATATTAATATTAATATTAATATTAATATTAATATTAATATTAATATTAATATTAATATTAATATTAATATTAATATTAATATTAATATTAATATTAATATTAATATTAATATTAATATTAATATTAATATTAATATTAATATTAATATTAATATTAATATTAATATTAATATTAATATTAATATTAATATTAATATTAATATTAATATTAATATTATTATTATTATTATTATTATTATTATTATTATTATATTATTATTATTATATTATTATTATTATTATTATTATATTATTATTATTATTATATTATTATTATTATTATTATTATTATTATTATTATTATTTGTGTGCCCTGGTTTCTCAAGTTGGTGTGTATTTTCACTCACGCCACTAAATGTACTTCAACATCATGTCCCCTTCAATAAATAATCGGAATAAATAATACTCGTGAAATAGTTTTGAAACATGATAAAATGTAGGAGACACATCCCAAATGAGTTGGGTTAGGGAAAACTCAGCTGACTGGTCGGCTAGAAAAATAAGATTATCGTTATTGTCATAGCACTTATTAACTTTTTTTTCTGAATTCTTCCCCTTTATTTTGTGATGTTTTATTTCTTCTACATTACTTTTGTTGATAGGCATTAGTGCAGTTACCAACCATATGTCACTACATATTTTCTTGGCATCGGCACTAGATTATGGCATCGGCACTAGAAACGCCAGAGGAGAGCTACTATTAAAATTCGCAGAACGCAATAATTTGCGGATTTTGAATACCTTCTACCGAAAACGAGAAAACCGCAAGTGGACATGGAGGAGCCCTAATGGCGAAAATAAGAACGAAATAGACTTTATAATGACCGCACACCCAGGAATCGCGCAGGATGTGGAAGTGGTTGGTAGGGTACAATGCAGTGACCATAGAATGGTACGGTCTCGAATTCGCCTAGACTTGAAGAAGGAACGACAGAAACTGATACGCAAGAAGCCAATCAATGAGCTAGCACTGAGAGGGAAAGTACAGGAATTCAGAGTGTCGCTGCAGAACAGGTACTCGACTCTTAGTGAGGAAACCAACTTTAGCGTAGATACAATTAATGATAATCTGACGAGTATGATTACGGAGTGTGCAGTGGAAGTTGGAGGCAGGGTAGTTAGACAGGACACTGGCAAGCTTTCGCAGGAAACGAAGAACCTAATTAAGAAGCGTCAAACCATGAAAGTGTCCAGTACAACAGACGAAATAGAACTGGCAGAGCTTTCGAAGTTGATTAATAGACGTAAAGTATGCGATGTAAGAAGGTATAACATGGAGAGAATCGAACACGCTCTGAAAAACGGAGGAAGCTTCAAAGCAGTGAAGAGGAAACTTGGGACAAAGAAGGGACAAAGGGACAAAGAAGGCAAAATAACTACCAATATGGATAGGATAGTTAAAATAGCGGAGGAGTTTTACAGAGATCTGTACAGTAGCAGAGACAACCACGACCTTAATACTTTAAGCACTAGCAGTAACCCAGACGATACCCCACCAGTAATGATAGAAGAAGTCAGAAAAGCTTTGGAGAGCATGCAAAGAGGCAAAGCTGCTGGTGAGGATCAGGTAACATCAGATCTGCTGAAAGATGGAGAACAGATTGTGTTAGAAAAACTAGCCACCCTGTTTACGAGGTGTCTCCTGACGGGAAGGGTACCAGAGTCTTGGAAGAACGCTAACATCATCTTAATACATAAGAAAGGAGATGACAAGGACTTGAAGAATTACAGGCCGATCAGCCTGCTCTCTGTAGAGTACAAGCTGTTCACAAAGGTAATTGCTAACAGAGTAAAGAAAACATTAGAATTCAATCAACCAAAGAACAAGCAGGATTTCGAACAGGCTACTCAACAATTGACCACATTCATACTATCAATCAGGTAATAGAGAAATGCTCAGAGTATAACCAACCACTATACATAGCTTTCATAGATTACAAGAAGGCGTTTGATTCAGTAGAAATATCAGCCGTCATGCAGACACTGCGGAATCAGGGCGTAGATGAAGTATATATAAACATTCTGGAAGAAATCTACAGGGGATCAACTGCTACCATAGTGCCTCATAAAGAAAGCAACAGAATACCAATCAAGAAGGGTGTAAAGCAGGGGGACACAATCTCCCCAATGCTATTTACCGCGTGCTTACAGGAGGTTTTCAGAAGCCTAGAAGGGGAACAGTTAGGGATAAGAGTTAATGGAGTAACCTTCATAACCTGCGCATCGCCGATGACATTGCATTGCTGAGTAACTCAGGGGACGAATCGCAACTCATGATTACGGACTTACACAGGGAGAGCAGAAAGGTGGGTCTTAAAATTAATCTGCAGAAAACGAAAGTAGTGTACAACAACCTCGGAAAGAAGCAGCGCTTCGAGGTAGGTAATAGTGCACATGAAGTTGTAAAAGACTATGTCTACTTAGGGCAGGTAATAACCGCAGAGCCTAACCACTAGATTGAAGTAACTAGAAGAATAAGAATGGGGTGGAGCACATTCGGCAAGCATTCTCAAATTATGACAGGCAGATTGCCATTATCCCTTAGGAGAAAGGTATGTAACAGCTGTATCTTGCTGGTACTTAACTACGAGCAGAAACCTGGAGACTCACAAAGAGGGTTCAGCTTAAATTGAGGACGACGCAGCGAGCAATGGAAAGAAAAATGGTATGTGTAACCTTGAGAGACAAGAAGAGAGCGGAGTGGATTAGGGGACAAACGGGGGTTCAGTATGTCATAGTTGAAATAAAGAAGAGGAAATGGACATGGGCCGGGCATGTAGCGCGTAGACAGGATAACCGCTGGTCATTAAGAGTAATTAACTGGATCCCCAGAGAAAGAAAGCGGGTTAGGGGAGACAGAAGGTTAGGTGGGCAGATGAAATTAAGAAGTTTGCGGGTGTAAATTGGCAGCAGCAAGCACAGGACCGGGTTAACTGGCGGAACATGGGAGAGGCCTTTGTCCTGCAGTGGACGTAGCCAGGCTGATGATGATGATGATGATTTTCTTAGACAGCGATGGAGGCAAAAATGATGAAGGCCCGTGTACTAAAATCTGGAGTGTACGGGAGAATAACACTTATAGGACTCTTTTCGCTTTAGGTACATAACTTTTTCATAAATATTCATCATTGAAAACGCCTAGCTCAAGCAATCAGTTCTTGGCCGATCTTCCTGAGTGGGTATCAGCCAAATTTAAGGCGTCATTATCATCATCGTCAGATCTGGGTGCACGTCAATAAACTCTAGGCGGTCAAAATTTTCCGGAGCCCCCAACATGACGTATCTCATAATCAAGTGGTGGTTTTGGGTTGTTCACCCCCATATATAAATCGATATTTTTTGCCCAATCCCGAAGAGGGGGTAGGTGAAATGATATCCAGGCAACAAAGAAACAATCGAATTCGCCACTACTACACAAAAATATGTCGTATAATGCCGTAGTGGGTACCCTGAAAGTGTAGTTCTACAAGTTACCCAAAGAGTGTTTAAAAAGACTCGGAAAGGTCGCTGTTCCAGCTTTCGCTGGAACTTTTCTTCACGTTCCGCGCCGGCGGGCTTTTTTTATAACGCGATAGCGCTAAAGAGCTCGTTTTGCGAAATTTCGGTGCCGGCGTCGGCGTTGTTGGTTGTGAGCAGGAATCATCATCTTGTGCGTGACAGAAAATTCGAGAATGATGCAAATAAAATAAATAAACGACAAGGAATCACCATCTCGTGCGCGACAGAAAATTCGAGAATGATGCAAATAAAAAAAATGTATGACAAAAAAAAACCCTGGAACATAGTGGGCACCGAACCAGTGTCGTTTCCGTCTGAGTGGGAATCGAACCCGGGTCGTTTGCGTGGCTAGTGGTTCTTCTACCACACGATCACGCTTCTTCTTATCGAAACAGCGAAAATAACTTCCTCTGATTGAAAATGCAGCGAAAGTGGCTTTCTTGCTTCGCAAACACGTGCGTCCAGTATACATGCTTCACAATGCCACAAGAAATATAGCAGTAATTATGCGTGGTACAAGCGTCTATTGCCAATGGGCGTCAGAATATCTGATTATCATAATTGGCTTCGTAGTTGAAAGCCAGTACCCTACTACGAAAGGCACACACACGCCCCTGTTTCCTTGAGGCTACATACAGTGAGTGCATAGAAAATTCCTAAAGGTTTTGTTCACTTAGTGTTTGTAATATGTGCTAGAAACCGAATGTCGCTATCGCGTTCTATTCCTAAAGAAAAAGCTTTAGGGCTCTGTAATGATTCCCCCCTTTTTCTCTTTATTTCAGGCGGAGCAGCTGCTGAAAGTGCTTTGCTTTAACTAGGTTCCGATGACATGCAGGCGTGCGCTGCACAGTGGAATGACC